TCGTAAATCATGTAAACCAATATGACGAATATCAACATTATCAATAACAATTGTACCATTGATAGGTTCAATAATTCGAAAGAGTGCTAAACATAAACTACTCTTGCCACTACCTGTACGACCAATAATTCCAATCTAAATTCAATTTCAATAGTTTACTTTTTTCAGAATCTATATTTTACTTTTTCTCCAGGTTGAATATCAATAGTCAAATCTTTGAGTACCAATGGTAAATTTTGTCTATATTGTGTTGATAAATTCTTGATTCTAGAAACATGAAATATTAAAAAGTTTCAAGTTATGTGTTTAGAAAATGATTCTACTGAATATTTCCATTCTTAGGCCAATGAGATGATGGTTTTGTCTCAGGAATTTCCCATGAAGCTTCCGGTGTTAATTCTGCATATTCATTGATACGTTCTACACTAACAGTATTTGTTTCAATATCACTTGACATACGAACAAGCATATTGAGAGAATTCGTAATTTGCATAGCAAATGTAATCATTAAACCAACAGTACCTGCTGTCATTCGATCAGGCATAAACACAGCAATGATAGCAGTAAAAAATACTAATGTATTACCAATCATTTCAAGGCGTACACCAAGCCATCTATCGATTGATAGATAATAAAATGATGAAATGTATTCATTCTAATATATCATACCTGTTAGCAACAGAACTAGCAAAGTGACATGATATGTTTCTATCCACAAATCTATCGGATACATCAATGAAACGTTGTTGTGCATGATAAGCTCGAATTGAACTAAGACCTTGAATTGTTTCAGCAAAATTTGCATAAATTGAACTACGTGTAACTGAATCGAGACGGCCAAGTTGTCGAGAAGATGAGACATAAACGCGCTATAAATATTCTAGAAGTACTTTGTAATAAATAACAGGAAAAAAATTTACTTGAATAAAACCAAAAAGAATAGAAAGAGGTATTAATGCAATAATAGCAAACCATGATCCATAGATCAATAGAATTAATGTAGTAACAACCGTAATAAGTGTAGTAAATGATTGAGAAAAAGCAGCGGGTAATGTTGAATCAACTGCATCGATATCCCTAGCAAAACGATTGATAACACGACCGATTGGTGTAGTGTCGAAGAAGGACATAGGTGCGTGAAGTACTCCAATTAGAATAATCCAATGTAGCTTTCGACCAGCAATATATGTAGCAAGCTTTAGAGTTAATTGCATTGCAAAGGCAAACAATCCTAGAAAGTGAGTAAGTAATAAGAATAATTAGCAATAAAAGCTCTTATTACCTTGAATGAGACCTAATGTTGAATAGATATTCATATCTCGAATTCGATTATTCGATGATGTATTATTGTTTTCTTTTGCTTTATCTGTCCATTGGCTTAGCCAAATATTGGCACTTAAAGATGCACATGCAGTTAAACAGAAGAAAAGAGTAATTAACATAACCATAGTTAATTTACAAGCGTGAATATAAATCGAAAAAATATTCAATTTCACCTAAATAAATTTTCGAATGGTGAATCAGACCAGAAAGAATTTATATTAGTAAAACTCACTGAACCCGTCTGAATAGTTTCCTTTTGAATAATTTTTTTCATTTCTTCTTCAATTGCGATAGTAGTTACTGTTGATCCATCATGTTGAATATCGTTTTCAGATGGATTATGAATCAATTCAGTTGATGTTGTATGCATACTTGCTAAACTTTCTATAGTAATAATAATATTAATAAATAGGTCACTTTTAGAAAATACAAAACTATATTCTTAATTACCAGTAGTACTTGTTTGACGTGAATATTGTTCTGTATCAGAAGTAACAACAGAATGAACAAAATCTTGTAAAATCTTGCTTCGAATCATTAAATCATTGTACAATCCATAATCAACAATTTCACCATGAGAAACAACAATAATATTATTACATTTGTTTAAATGAGATACACCATGTGTAACTAGAAGACGTGTCTATTTAAATAAAAATATATAATATCATATCTGTGTATATTCTTACTTTGGTATTTAATAATCCTTTTGGTCCTATAACTTTTTTGAAAATATGAGCACCAACATGTGCATCAACAGCTGAAAGTGGATCGTCAAGTAAATATATATCGGCATTGCTATACAATGCTCGTGCCAATGATACTCGTTGACGTTGTCCACCAGATAAATTAATACCCTAAAGTAAAGAATTATTTCAAGATGATTTGATAGGATTCATCTCATTAATATATACTTTTTCACCAATTTCAGTTTGATCTCCTGCAGGAAGCATATCTATATAGATAGATGTTTATTTATTTTCTTCGAAAAATTCGTATTTATTTATGAATTTACCAAGATCTTGTTTAAGAGCACATGCTTCAATAACTCGATTATATAAGTTTTCATCAAAATCTTGTCCAAAAAGAATATTTTCTCTCAATGTTACATTCATAATCCATGCTGTCTGTGGAACATAAGCAATCTTTCCACTGATACTTACATTTCCATGAACTTTATTCATTTCACCAAGTAATGCTGCTAAAATGCTACTTTTACCTGAACCAACCATACCAACAAGTGCAATAAGTGAACCTTGTTGAATTTCAAGATTTATACTAAACATAAAAAATTCATTAGCAATAAAAATAAAAATATTTATTTATGTTATTAACTTTTTTAAAATTAATGGATCATCAACGACATTTGACCAACGAAAAGAACCATTTTTAATTTTTATAGAATTTCCATCTAATAATTTCGAATCAATCGATATCTTATTAACAGCATTTTCATCAAGTTCTTCATTATTTAAAAATTTTTGAATTCTTTTATTTGATACACGAGCCTAAAAGTAAAAAATTCAAAAACTATTACAAATCAAAATTTCTGAATTCACATCAATAACACTGGTAATAACATTAGGAAATTGATTAAGTGGACCACGAAGTAAATGAAACAATGCCAAAGATACAAATGCTTTATCAGCTGTTAAAATATTTTCATTCGATGAAAGAATATAAGCAGCAAATGTTGCTATACCAACCTGAATAAATATATATTCATAGAGTTGTATACAAAAAAAATCATAGATCTATTCTTACAAGAATTGGTGTAAATGTCCAAAGAATATTTGAAATAGCAGTAACAATTGCTTTTTGTCGTATATAGCCAAGTTCTTTCTCACGAATCCGTGTAATGGAATGAATAAATGCCATTTCCCATGCATATAATTTTATAACTTTTATTCCATTAAGTATTTCACTCATTGTTTTAATTCGTTGATCTTTAACTATCATTTGTTTATACTATATTTTCAATATAAAAATAATTGAAATTGATGATATAAATTTTTTTTTTTCTATACAAACCGTAAGTTTCTTCTGCATTCTCTGTAAAAATAGATTAATTGGAATCATAATAAATAATACTACAACACCGGGTATTATTGACCATTGCATTTGTCGATAGAGTAAAACGAGTGTAATAATTATTAGAAGTGGACCTTTAGAATAGCATAGAAACCATGTATTTATATGAATATAATATACCTGACCACAGAATATGCATTTGTGTCGTAATTTCGCCAAAACGAGAAGCATCAATTGCCATCTATTCATATAAGAGTCAAAAAAAAGGAATTTTATATATATATACAAAATATATACGAACTAAATTAACAATTTCACCAGTAGTTGTTTCTTGTTTCGATGAATTTGATAATTTTAAACTCTAAAAAAGTAAGAAAAATAAGTAGTAATAAGTATAGAGTAAATACTAAACCTTGCGATAGATAAGACCTGTTATTGCAGAACGAAAACGAAGTCCAACAAGAAATTGACATTGAAAATAAGATCGTAAGAGTATAATTTGACAAAAGATACATGTACTAAGTAGAATTGCATAGAAAATACCAAGCCATAATGGTTTTGTTGAATCAGCAAAATAATTAAGTACAAGTCTAAATGAAACACTATATATATATATGATTCGAACATTTTCTAATATTTACTTTAATATTATTGGACCACTGAGTTGTGTAAGATCATGAGCAAGTCGTATAAGACCACCTGCAATTAACTTATCTCTATATGTACGAAATAGTGCATGCCAAAAAATAGCACTTTTTTTCTGTTTTGATGACGATTTTTTTATATCAACTATTGGCTATAAATATATTTCAAAATTAATAAGCAATCAGACAGATTCTCTTACCAGGTTAGTAAGCTAGAAGAAATATGTATTTAAAAATGAATTAGATTAGAATATATAAAACATCTTACTAAATTTCGATTTTCATCATTCGATAATTCATCTTCATAAGAATTTTTTGTATCTTTCATAAAGTTTTGTACTTGATGAACAACAGTAACAGTTTGTTCTGATTTTGATAATTGCCAACAATCTTTTTCAGTAAGTGGCTTTTTATAGCCTCGAAGAATTAATGGTGTTACCCATCCAAAAAAGATTCGAGATGGAAAACTTACATAGAGTTCAGGTACAACATCAGAAATAATATATTTTTCAGCAAAACAATTAGTAATAAATAAACCAAATGCAAATAAAAAATGAAGCCAAACACTTATAAATACTATCCATAATGATATAGTAACACTGTAGTGAATAATATCAGGAATAGAAGCTAGAGAAACTAATAGCCAAAATATGAAGAGTAAACCGGAAGCAAAGACACTTTTGAGACGCTCATAATTTATAAGCCAAATAATAGTCATTGCTGTGATTATATATAATACTGGTGTAAACCAATTAGCATGTCCTTCTTTATTCATCGATAAGAAGACATAGTGAATAATACGAATGATTTGAATCAAAATGAATAGAGTAGTAAGAATCATTTTCGTAATGAATAGAGTAGAAACTTGTATTACTTGTGATTTCATTTGTTGTTTAACCAATGCATATAACCATAATGGTAAAATTAACCAGAAAATACCCATAGGTACCCATTGTAGAACAGTATTTCGAAAACATTCAGTAACATATGGATATGATGAATTAGTGATATTTTCATTCTAAACAGTAAGAGAAATGATACTAGATATAGAGAATTAATTAATGAAAATAGATATATACCCAGAATGGTGTTGTACAAAAGTGATTCATATCTAAAATATAAAATTTTTTTCGATTTGAAAATGAGAAAAATGAAGAAAAAAAATAATATCGTGCGCATATCAATTGCTTATCAATTTACAATACCGGTGCAAACAAGTGTATATAACATGGCGGTAAAGTAATATATACGGTTCTTTCTTATTTCATCACTATGTACTTTTAACCACTTGTAATCAATAATAACCGACTATAGTCAAAAGAAAAGAAAAAATGAAGTTGCCTGAATAAAAAAAAATCAATAATATAGTTTTTAAATACTAAATTATTTTAACGATAATGTTGGTATTATAAACATGATAAAATACATCTAAGAACGAACCGTTTGTTTTTTTTATCGTACATATTTTGCTGTACTAATTATTCAAAAAAAAATGCACACTTACTGTCGATAAATTGAATAACAACATTAAAAATGAGAGAAAGAAAAACTTAAAAGTGCATTGAGGTCACCAAGCACATTATCTAAATAAGAAGAAGGATGGTTTTAGACCGGCTTTAGCAACATGAATATTTTAATAATCTAGTCATTTGTATAATAAAACAAAGCGATTGCAACGAATTAAAAATATAATAAGCCATTGTTTTTTTCTTGTTGGTTTAGATACGATATATTACATTAAAGACAGACGTTTGTACACTTATTTCATTTTTATTTCATATTTTTTTTCAACAATATAATTGTTATCAAAAAAAAGTGACGAGAAAAACATATATATCAACGTGTAATTTTTATATCTATTTAATAGTTGTCCTTAAAACAAGTATGAATAATTATTTTATCTTCTCTTTTTCATTCTGTTTACCTAGACGAAAATATTTTTGTAGAAATGAATGCGCAAAAACTTGATTAATGATTTTTTTTGTATTGAGGTAGAATCTGATCAATTTATTCTGTTATTTTATGTCATAGATTCGATAGCTATCGAGCAAATTATATATCACGAGGAATAAATTGCATGCAATAGATCAGAACAAAAAAAAGAAAAGAACAGTCATGCATTATTACTTGAGATTTTATAGTAGAAAAATAATTTTTATTTAATTCGATTTAATTATTGATATCGATATATGCATACAAATATGCAATTAACGATTTAATTGAGGGGTATTGTTTCAGCGTTCGCAAAGAAATGCTTCTATTATTACAAGAACGTCAATACAGACAAAAAAAAAGAAAAAAAAGAGAAAGAGATAAATAAGGTATTCATAAGTAAAATCAAACAGAAGAGTAGTAAGTTAAACGAAAGTATGTAATACTTTTTCGTATATTAAGTTTTTATCCAACAAAGCAAAATAACATAGACGCAACAAAATTCTATGGATTTTTTTATATGAAAAGAAAACTATATTATTATCTAAATTTCCTATTTTTTTGTTATAGATCAACATGACTTCTACAGATATTGAGATGTTTTCATTAGAGCCCTTATCTAATCAAGAGTCTCCTGCTACTGTTGACTCAACAATCAAATCAAATTCAGCTACAAATCTACTTGATCCACAAGCCACGGTTGATGTAACTGATGATTCGCCAGCGACCTCCTCTAGAATCATACTATCTCCTATTAAAGGAGCTGTTTTGTTTGCTATATTTACATGTATAGTGATGCTTATTGGAATTCTCATAGTATATTTCAACTCACCAAAACTACCAGGTACGTTCGCTTCATAATCTTTATTTTATTTCCGAAAAACTAGAGAAAATAAATATATTTAATAAATCGTAACTTATTATTTTTTATAATAATGATTTTCAAATAACAGTAAGCAGAGAGATCTATTTTTTGCCACTAATCAAATCAGAAAATATGCACGAGATGACTTAGAGAAATTGTTCGAGCTGGGCGTGTCTGTCGATCTCTTGGAAAAACTGCGGGGCGTACGTGATGTGACCGTGCGTATGAATATTCCTCTCATCCATCAACACTCATACCTACACCTTAACTCGCTCATCCCACCAAACACATCTATTTATCCACCCATGTGAACACACCCACACCCACACCCTTAGGTGATTCATATAAAATTCATTCTCCATCCCAACTGAATATTTTGAAGAAATTAGTTGTACAAATTTCTGTAGTTCAAGTCAGTCAGATATATTTTCACATGCTACATTTATATTTTTATTACAAAACACATATTCAAGTACAAAACTTCTTATGGATTATTTGCATCATGTTCTATTGACATACATTCCATATTCTTCTTTTTTAACAAAATTTTTATTTATTTTATATCTCATGACTGTTTTTCCGAACGTTGTATTTACCAACGTACGACGTCTTCCCGAGCGTTGTATTTACTAATGGACAACTTGTTTTTTCCGAACGTTGTATTTGCCAACGAATAACTTTTTTCCGATCGTTGTATTTACCAACGAACGACTTTTTCCGAAAGTTGTATTTATCAGAGATGTTCGTCGCTACGTACGGAACTACAGAGAATCAATAAGATATAACCTAATACTCATATTTTATCTATTCGATTTAGGTATCCATTGCTCTCTTAAATAATATTTATATGACTGAAACATCCCTAGTTTTAAATGTCCTCAAAATACTCTTCTTAATAAAAATAAATTATTTGTTTTATAAATAATAAATTATGTCGCTTCTTCTTTGTTTGTTATTAAACTCAAAATAAAACTAGAAGTAAATACAACTATATATTGTAGCACACATTAAGTACTAACGTTCATTATTTCCTATTTAAAATAGGAGAAAATGCTTCTTCGGCAATTGCTTATTTTAATATTTGTACAATTCATAATATCCTATAAATTTACAGAAGATAATTGGAACAGTTTCGATGCATACGGTGTAAAATTGGCAACTAACGATGCAGTCGTGGTACAAGCACGTAATAAAGATGCTCAGTTTATTCTGCAGTTCGCTCCATTCAATCCATCGAATTTATCGTCGCCATGCCAAATTGATTATCCCGGTCTTGCTACAAGTGACATGAATTTTATCTATAGTATAGATGTACCAAAAGTAGTCTCTTATGATGCATCCGTCGTTTTTATTGGTGAAAACAGCGGTAATTCGTCATCACCATATCCGTTCATTGGACATCTTCTTGCGAACGCATCCTGTGAAACTACATACAATATGTATTATTTTACACCATTTACACACGATGAGTTTTTTGTACACAGTATTGATCCATCAGGTCAAGTAGCGTATGGATTTTCCAGTCGATTTGCATTCAGCTATGATTTGCAAACATACAATGTCACTTATTTGCCACAATGGCCCTTTGCCAATTTTACACCACATGCTGTCGATATAAGTAGTAGTTATGTGGCTATAATCGCTGGTTTTATTAACGAGACACAGAACACATATAAACCTATTGTCTACATGTTACAAATGAATCGAAGTTTCTTCACAATTGTTGATACATGGCCATATATACCATTGAATAGCTCATGGCAAGCTACAACATCGAATCGAGATGCAAGTAGTTTTACTAGAAAACATATTATGAGTGTCTCTATTCATGATAATACTTCAGCTGTACTTGTTGGTATGCCATCTTATAATATTGTCTTCTGGTTTTCTATGACAATAACAAATTTATCATTATTAGCAGCTCGTGATAATGGATATCAACGTGGCTATGGTCAAAGTTTAGGATGGAGCGATGAAGACGGAGGTCCATATCCTGTTTTACTTGGAAATGCGTATTCATTTCCTTACCTATGGTCTAGTTCGACTATCTACTGGTTCTATTGGTATCAATTTATCTCAAGCGATCCGATTATGCCAATGCTCCCTACAGTTCAATGTCCTCTATGGGTTGATCTTAATCAACATCTGATCACTATCGCTATGTCAACACTCAATCTTGTAGTTCTCGATTCAACTGGACAGGTCTATGTTATGTTACAAGCTCCAGTAGGATCTTATCCAGCGACAAGCATAGCCATCGGCACTAATCCTGCATTCTCGGATTTCGTTTATTGTCTTGCAGGTACTTATAAATATTGGATAGGTGTCTACATTTGCTTTCCATGTACGATGGGAACAATGACTTTAGAAGAAGGAAGTACTGAATGTTCAACTTACGATTGCAATGGATATAATTCATTTTGTCCACTTGGTTCAGTCACTAATGATACTTATTCAGATATGCTTACATTTGTCTCTCAAGAACTTAGTTATCCTAAATCACCTGAATCCACTATTTTTGATGATATTCTTATTCAGAATATGTTTACTTTTGGTAATTCATATCATTGTTTACTTGTTTCACCAATCTTCTGGGTAATGGTGATGACTGGTTTTATAATGCTTATCCTTCTTGCTATGGGCATTCTTAAATTCTTCAAACAACATCATAATACTCGTGTTTTAATTAAACATATATTTCGTCACGCCGATCTTATCAATGAAGGAGAACTGTGGATTGGTGGCCCTGCGTCTCTTGCTCTTATGGTTTTACTAATATTTGCTTACACCTTTAGCCAATTTTATTTAAATCAATATCCAATTGAAACCTCGTCAGCATCAACATTCGCATGTGATGAAACACTTCGCAATGCAAAATTTGATACAAATCTTCAATCCCTTTCTACACCTCGTAATGAAGAAGAAGAACCAATATTTGATTTACTCGATCACCAGCAATTCACACTCACCATCGATTTTATCAATACACAACAAACATGTGATGATGTAGAAATTATACAGACCATTCATGCTTATTCTAAAGAGATACCATCGAATTGCAGTTATAATCGATCTATACTCTCTATTTCAACTGTCCTTCAGTCACACACAATCAGTCTCAATTATGTTTTTAATTATGCTAAATCAATTGGTGGTTTTCGAGTTCGTTTCTATGGTCAACAACTCGAAACAAGCAATTTATCGAGCAATACATATTATCTTGTTCGTGAGCTTAACTTCATTCAACCATTCTTGATGAACAATCAGACAATGGCTTATGATCCAAATATTGTATTTCAACTTATTCGTGTCATCAATGAAACTGATTCACTTGATGATAATGGAGCAACTTATTACAATGGTCTATGGAGTCTGATCAGTCTTACTAGTATTTCAGATCTTTTTCTTACCTATGATGATTATATGTACTATGGCTTATTAAAAACATCGTTCTCAATTTCTATTTCAGAAACAATTTATTATATTAAAAATTATCAGGAACCTATCGCTAAACAAGCAGAAATCATTTTTCACAATCTTCTTTTTACAATAGTCTGTTTGGAATTATTTGGACTGATATTTATTATTATCAAACTCGTTGGATTACCATTGGCCAATAGAATACGGCGCATCATGGAAAAACGCTCCAATATAATTCACCCAGAACATTCCTCTGATACTGTTACAGTATTATCGTAATTTGTAGAAGAAGATGATACTTTTGGAAGCTTAGTAACAGTTCGTTTATTTAAGAATAGAGGGTGGGTGTGAGTATATAAGTATTGCTTTTAATTTTCATCTACACTCACCCTCAGATTTTAGCCACATATGTATATTCACTATCGATAAAAAAACCTCTTCAAATGTCTACTATAATCTTCTTTCGATCTTCACAAATAGTTGCTAAAAGCTTTCAGTTTTGCGAACAATTATTTTGAAGTTTTATTCTGCAGCCAAGAGAGCACAGATTAAACAAATATTGTAATGAATCTATATTAGATCTTATCAGAACATACAAACTTTTCTCATGAAATCTTTACTCAAATCATCATATCAATAGCTATGTATCCGTTATCGAAATATATTCGATATTAACTTTTATGGTTTTCTAACTCTTTCATTGCTTGCAATATTTTCATTGATTTCACGTTTAATGTCGTCTCCGATTCTATTACCTCCGAGACTTAGTGTGGCGAGTGTCTAAATGAAAACGTGTAGGTAAATACATGATATAGATGATCAGAGAATACTAATTACTGTGTTATGTCGTAAGTCATCAACCAAATGTTGTGCTCCAACATCTCCGATTTGATTCCATCCGAGATATAGTGTGGTGAGTGTCTAGATGAAACAGAGCAGGTAAATATATGGTATAGATGAAAAGAGAATGATAATTACTGTGTTATGTCGTAATCCATCAGCCAAATATTTTGCTCCAACAATTTCGATTTCATTACCTTCGAGATTTAGTGTGATGAGTGTCTAAATGAAACTGCTCAAGTAAAGACTTAGTAAAGACGAAGAGAGAATATTAATTACTCTGTTGTGTCGTAATCCATCAGCTAAGTGCTCTACTTCATCATCTCTGATTTGATTACGTTGCAGATTTAATATGTTGAGTGTCTAGGTGAAAAAGTTCAGATGAAAGGAGATAATCGTTAATTGCTGCTATATCCAAGTAGGTGTATATGAGGAATGTTGATGTGAGTAGGGTGGAGTGAGCTGTATTGATATGAGTGTGAATTTGTTCAAAAATTTTAGAGGGTATAGAGCGCTTATGATTCCATCGAGAAAGCTTGATTAAAAGAGAGGTCCTAAGATTGACGCATATATGGCAATTTTTTTATCTATGAGTTGCTAGAATTCTGAAATATTTATTGAAGAAGGAAAAAGTTCTAGTAACTGAGTAATAGTGTGAAATTTGATTCGGCAAAATACAATTGTAAAGTGTTTGATTAGATGCCTAAAGCGCAAAGTATTAGAATTAATGTTTTGG